AACTAAAAGTAGTGTTCAAGATTGTAAAATGTTCAATTCATGACACAACAAACTCGTGACTGACCGTTGTCGTTGTTGAAAATTCGCAAGGACAATAGAGGGCGTTTCTGACCAAGTACTGGTTTCACATCGCTCCTGTAATTTCTCTATTTTTGCACAACTGTCTCGTCTAGTTCACTACCACAATGAGATGCATTGATTGCAAAACTACCAGGAAAGTTAATCTATGCCAAGGAGACTTACAATTATGCCGAAAATGCGAAGAAAAGCGGTTTCAAACGCCAGCACCTAATACGCCAACAACGACAACAGCGCAAACAATAGAGGACAACATGGCGAGTATGCAAATTTTGTCACCTTCCCAGCAAAGTCAAACACAGCCATCATAGTTACTGAATGCTGTATATGCAATACAGAAAGATATCCATGACATGAAGACGAATCAGCAAGGTATGGACACTTCTATGAAGTTTATTAATAACCAATTTGAAGAAATGAGAAAAAGAATGGAGAAACACAAACCTGGCGCGAGAGAACATCCAATTACGTGACAGAGTTGGTGTATTAGAAAAGGAGCTTCGCGATCAAGATCAATACACCCGTCGAATTAACCTAGAAATCAATGGAATTCCAGAAAGTGAGAATGGTGAGGAGGATACGGAGCAAATTGCGTTATCTGTATTTCGCAAAATAGACCCGACCATAACACCAGCCGACATTGACGTCACATTGGTAAAAAAGACACCTCAACCAACCAACCTACGTATCCGAGATCAATTATTGTTCGCTTTGCAGCCAGGAAAAAACGCAATGTTATTTATGAAAATCGTCGCAAACTACGAGACATTACAACAAAAGATATCGGATACCGTCGTTCAAACTACATATTTGTGAATGAAAACTTAACACCATCGTCATGTCAGCTGTTATCAAGGGTCAACCGCGCAAAAAAGGAATCACACTATCAGTATCTCTTGACTTATAATGGGCGCATATATGTAAAAAAAGGATAACACTGCAATGTCCATCATAATCCACACTGAGTGGGATATCGAAAAAAATCATTAATTGAACATCATGAGAAATAACTCCAGGAACGTGAACTGTAATAATGGGTATGTCACAATGCTATGTTCTAAAGTTTATTTCATTCCAATTTCTATATTGTAATTGCATACTGTATGGTAATTCGTTATTACTACTACATTTATTATCAGTTCTTTCTCAAGCTGTAAATTTCAATGATGATTATGGATTCAAATAGTGAGGAATTTGACACACATTTTGACAGCTGCAACACTTGTTCCTACAATGCATTTCTTGAACTCACTGGAAACATTCCGAAAGGTGCGTTTTCCATCACTCATGTCAACATAAGATCGCTACTAAAAACTTTGATGAATTAAAATTATTTTATGATACAATTCCCTTCAAATTTAAAGTCATTGCACTTCTGAAATATGGCAAGTCAAAAATAAAGATATGTTCAATCTATATAATTACTCATTAGAAACAAAAAGGCAGAACAAATCAAAGGGGTGGTGGAGTAGGGGCCTATATCCACACCTCTTTAAATTATAATTTGATTGATGTCGAGGTAAAACACGCTGAAACATTGTGGGTAAATGTTAATGTTGGTT